CGCCTCGACTACTTCCTTCACCACTTCCTACGTCACGGACCTGTTTCCCTCCCTTCCCGTAGCATTTTAGGATTGCCCATACCCTTATATAATCGTCATAAACAGTTCCCACACTCCGGACTGCTCACCTTGACTACTTCCTTCATCACTTTCTACGTCGCGGACCTGTTTTCCTTCCCTTACCATAGCATTTTAGGATTGCAGATACCTTAATCTAATCGTCATAAACAGATCCCAGACTTCGCACTGCTGCCCTTGACTACAATGTATCGAGTAATCTTCAGTATAATCTTTGCTAAATATTAACAAGTGATGTTTTTCCTTTTGTACTGTATTTGTAATTTGCTAGTATACTGTGGGTAGGTGGCTTATTATGAACACATGCTACAACTTCAAGTCTTTTGTTTACTTTATCCTTGTTATTTAATTCATCCAACATGGTTACCTAGCAACCCATAAGACTAATGTTAAAAAAATGTGATTTTAAGTTTCATTTTTCTACGTAATTAGATTTTTGTTGGCAGTTCTAACTGCAGTAAACTCGTTTTTAGGCCAGAAATAAACTATTTACAACATTTGAAGAAAATCGTCGGAGCCGTTTTCGAGATCTTATTTGCAAGCAAGCAAGCAAGCAAGCAAGCAAGCAAGCAAGCAAGCAAGCATGCATACAAGCAAACATTGCTCGTATTAGAGTATAGGATATAAATAATTAGTCTTTCAAAAACTATACAACACGTTTTTAGGTTAGGTTAAATCCAAGCGGTGAAACGGAATCGGAAACACTGCACAGCTGATCATAGTCGTAATATCTTTAAGTGTTGCCAGCTTATTTTCAAGCGTACATGGATTACGTGCATAGTAAAGACACGCTGTTTTTTGTTGTTTGGTTGGAATACTGGTGTGCGTCAAAGTAAACACTGTGCGTCAAAGTAAAAACTGTGCGACAAAGTAAGTAAATGCAGCAATTGGCAGCTTCCTGTACTATAATCAGTGCAAGGAAGCCCACTTTGTCGGGTGACTGTAGGAAAAGGCATTAGATCAACTGTTGACTTAAATTCAGTACATTAGGAAACATCTGTTAGAATTATTGTAGCTTAGCTATTAATCACGGTTATTTTAACAGAAACTAGGGAACCCGCGCGGATAAATGAGCCGCATAGGAAGAACAACAACGTCGAGGAAAACCTGATGATTGAATTTGAGTAATTGTAACATTCTTACAGTTATTAAATAACTTTATAGAAATCGATTTAAATATCTCTAATTCACCTAAATTTCTACTCTCAGTTTTCATTGATTACTTCTAATGAATGTATTCTCCTTTAATGCCAGTGAACTTGGCTGTAGATATTTTAACAGAAATGGTATGGGTGACAAACATAAACTAATTTCGTCACTGGATCAAACCACCATAGGCTTACTAATAAAATCAACATTTGGTTTGGACGTTTTTTGGAGTTCCATTTAAATAATAGTACAATATTGATTTAGTGAATATTTTAATTCAATTGGTTGATTACCTTTTATTATTTCTGAGGATGTTATATTATAAGTCAATGTTAGTTTTTTGTGGACCATCGCACAAAGTTAAACTTGTAAGTAGTTTATCAGTAACTAGAATAGTATAAGCCGAAACTTTTTTGGTTGAATTCTACGTTATCACGATTTAAAACTGCATCACATTTGATGGAGGAAAAGTTTATATAACAATTAAGAGTTTTTAAGTCTAATGCAGGCCTCTGAAAAGACAAGAATGGCATCGCTGTGTTTTCACTTATCTTCACTGGAAACAATATGTAACAAATTTATAATCAGTCCAATTATAATCTATATTATCTAATTCCGTAAGCCCAAAATTTTACAATGAAATTGTGAGCGAACGGGAGGCTGTAGAAAGCTGGGAGAGGCCTCATTTTAAAGCTCTGGGCATGAAATTTTGGGGAAAAATATTCATTTTTCTTAATTATGCACCAAAAGGTTGTTACGGAATAAAATAATTCACATTTAAATAGCATGGAAATCTAGGTCATGTCTGCTTTGTTTACTTTAAAACATGTGGTTTAACTTTATTTAAAGCATATGGTGATATGTAATAGTCAAAGGTCTTTGACTATTAATACAACAACTAGACATTCCATCCCCATGTTAAAGTTGTAGCCAGGTTTTTAATAAAATTTGTTAGTTGATGTGAGCCCCCTACAGATTGCGCTGATCTAAATTACTGATGTCTGCCAATTACACGATGGTTTTTACCAAGTCAAACTGATGGAATGACTTATTATGTGCTATAGCAACTGTTGTGACCCAGCAACGATGTCAGTAGCCAGCAATAGTCAATGGTAATATGTACTGTAATATGTATACTACATATTATAAAGCTGAAATAGACTTTTCCTTATTTTAAGGGTCTGGATTATAGTTAATGGAGTATGATTGGTTGTGTTAGGTGTGTCTGAAAAAAGTGTTAACCTAGAAGTAATTGCTGGAGTAGGCAAATGGAACATATTATCATGCCAAAATAAAACTAATATCTACAGATCCTAATATGCCTTTTATAAGGATTCAATTCCTATTGTGATTAGCTTTCGCTATTCCTATAATTTAAGCGCGAGGCCCGCATACCTTCACAAAAGTCGGCATCTATTTGAAAAAATAACCCATGGACAACTTTATGTTGCTTTTAGCCAGGTTAAGCGGCCAGATGATGTTAAAATAGTACTAGAACCAAATAAAGACCAAGGAATCGACCAAGATTAATAGGCCTACTATACAACAAATGTTATTTTCAGAGAGATTTTGTTATAGAATTAGCATTTTACAATTTGGAGGATGACATTATCTATATGTGTTTTATCGAAGTGAATTTGTCTACATTCAAAGAAATATATATATTTAATTAATATTCATGAAGATTATCATTGAAAATGTTCCTTGGTGGTATTATAATTAGAAAGTTCATATTGTAAACACACTGCATGAACAGTCCTTTTGAATTTTTTTTTTAAACAGAGCAGACATCAAAATGCATTATGCAGGGTATGTAATAAATATTATATTAAACACAAATTTTTAACGATAATTCAAGGTAGGGTAACCCATGAGACTAATAATTTGTACACAATAATTACTAGAATATAGACCTATAGGGGCTATTGCCCCTACAAGCCACTAGTTATATCTACACAGCTATTGTTTCAATTTAAAATTGTTAATAAAAACAAATAATGGAGTTTGATGGTGAAGGCCAATGACGTAAAATATGATTCCCAGATAACTCATCTTAATTTTGTGGACGCATCTGCGAACACCATCTAGTATACGTAATTTATCTATGTAGGCCTATTAACATTTTGTGTATATAATGGTTTAATTTCATCTTAACGAGTTTATAAAATAGAGTTAAAATTTTTTTTAAAAGATAATTTTCCGTCCTCAACTAAAAATACACTATTTCCTATGCAAAGTTTGAGTTAAAAGTTTGAGTGAAGAACATGATAATTGATATACCAAACAAAAACCATTATAATCAAAATTTATATCTATAATTAGGCCAATATAGACATGTTTTCATTCAACCTTAGTATTTGATATTTTACGCTATTTATTTAATACTAAAGTATTGTCTATTAGAAAGTTTTGGTTTTAATTCGTGTAAATTATGAAATTGTCTAACGTTTGAAAAATATATTTAACGAGATTAATTAATACAGTAGAGAAAAATTCCATTAGGAAGGAAACACGAGATAACAAAGATGAAACAGAAAATGACGAGTTGAACCTTTGCATCTTTGCAGAACAATGCGATAATATTTCAATTGTATTTTGAGATCCAAAAAATGTGTATAAAAATTCACCTGCCTGTCATAAAAATACCTATTTTGAATACCAAAGTATGGTTCAAAAGTTTATAAATTGATATACATTAGTTACGTTTCATTCATTGAAAATCACATAATAATCCCAAATTATAAACGCATTTTAAGCGATTAAATATTTATCTTCAAAGACATTTGAACTTACACGTCGTCAATTGGTGTAAACCAGAAAATAAATTAAATAACATACAAAACAAATGTGCTGAAAAATGAAATATCCCATTCATTCAAGCGTAACTTGATTTCGTCAATAACGTTCGTTAAAATACAATAAACTAATTATACTGTACATCACACCCTCTGCCAACTGCAACTGTGCATCATATCCTCATATAAATCAATCAGTATTGGAAATGCTATAAAATATTGAAGCTTTACTACTGTACATATTGCTGGTAAAACAGATTGTTGCTGTGGTTCTATGGTTGCTGTAACAACGTGACCAGACCACACTTTTTATTAAAAACTAGCTCTGTACCCGTGCTTCGCAACGGGAAGATGTACTATACCGAATAATCCAAACAGTTGTTAAGTAGTTCGAATTTATAAACAAAAGCCACCAAATTTATACAAAAAAGTACGACCTACATTGAACTGTCTTACTCTTAACATTAAAATGTATCGATAACATAATTGTCATGACTTACGGTTATAGAATCTTTCTTTAATTCCATAACCAATGACATAGTTTTAGATATAAATGTGTAAAATATTTGATTAAATTTGTTTGGATCAGCTGTTTGAAGTTGTCAAATAAGCATTCAACAGTTTTGATTGTTTACTTTGAAATGTCAACACAAAGGTAAACAAAGGTTGTGAATTTTCTCATCCTCCCATGGAGACCAATAAATATTTACTTTTGAAAACCTCGCCTCAAAACTTTGAACTTCCAAGGGGTGTAGCCCGAGAGGAACTCAGGGAAGTGAATAGGCCTATGGCATTCCTAAATATTGTAGTGATTGTGAACATTGTAATAAAGAAATATTGTAGTGGTTGTTAGATATCTGTTATGTGGGACGTGAAACGTATTGTACGTGCGCAATAGGATTAATTAAGCTAGATTTTCAGTTAAAACTTACTCTTGTATTGCATAGACTGTTAGAAAAAAGTCACAATCAGACTTACCAGCGGGATCAGCTGAGGAGGAGACGGACGTTGAAGGCTGAACTGAGAACTGATACGAGAAAGAGTCCATCTGTGTCTGGTGGTCGGGCGTGGGGCTGAGGGAGGTCTTGATGTAAGGTGTGGTGTCCTGGTAGGTACCCCAGGAGTCACAGGGAGGGTACGAGGGGTACTCGGGAGGGTAGGCAGCTGTGGGGTACTGCTGACTCATGTAGCTCATGGGGTACTCCTGTGGCTGGGGTGTAGACAAGGTGTCGTACTGCGGCATGACTGGGGCAGTGCTGTAGTACTGGGGGCGCTGAGGCGGCGGTGGCTGACGACGGCAGAACCCCCTGGGTCGGCGTCGCAACGAGCCGTCCTTGAACATTGGCTTGGACGACGGGTCGATCACCCAGTAGTGACCCTTCCCCGGACGTCCGAGACCCTTGGGCAGCTTAACGAAGCATTGGTTGAGAGACAAGTTGTGTCTGACGGAGTTCTTCCAGCCCTGGTAAGCGCCGCGGAAGAAGGCGAAGTGTTGTTGTAGAAAGGTGTAGATTTCGTTGAGTGTGAGTCTCTTTGACGGCGAGCTCTCTATCGCCATGTATATGAGCGCTATGTACGAGTACGGCGGCTTCTCCTGTCGTCTCAGACCCGCGTTGCTCTTCTTGGTGGTCGTGGACGTCGCCGTGGCCGTGGTCGCCGCCGTGGTCGCACCCGCGCCCGTGGACGTGGTCGTGGTCGTATCCGCCACATGTCCGATACCGTGGTGTCCGTGATGCGTCGCCGACACCAACTGCGATCCCGCCTCTACGTTCTCACTCTTCATCATTATCGTACACATTCTATCCCGGCAAAAACACGGATTCGATAAACATTTACGTTTAAAAAATATCTGTTTCGGTGCGGTCAGGTCTTGTTTAAACACACTCCGGATTACTTAGAGTCACCTCACTTTATAGTGTATACAGAAAGCAGTTGATGCGGGCTCATACCATATACAAACAGTGCGAGAGACGAGAATGGCAGGGAGCGAGTGTGACGGCTGCGCTGCTGGGAGTCGCCTGGACCAATCACAGAGGAGGGCGGGGCTGGCCGGGGGCGGGACTCGGCATCACATTGACAGACGCCATTGGGCCAGAATCACATTTTATTAACCGCAAGGTAACCCCTACCACAATTATTCAGCGTTGAGTTTAGATTACCATATGGTGGGTTCCTTCGAGACCTTATAGGTAGAATACAGGTAAATTGACGGTTGACCTTGAATAATTAATAAACCACCCTGGTTATTGTTCACTACCCTCAGGACAATTTGAATGGTCTACTGTGATATCGTATTGGGGTTTTTTTTAGGGAGAGGAGGGAAAATGCTTTTACGGCAGCCTGTAGTGTGATACTCCTGAATTTATCACAGACTACTCACTAAAAAAACCCTCTACTCTGTTGGACAGCGATATCAGTACTACACAGCGTTCTGCAAACCTCTTCAGCATTTCAGCCTTTGCATTGAAAGAGTTTAAACGGTATTCAGTGTTAGCTTTGTTAAAATAAAATTAGAAATGATTTCGTAAACGAAAATCCATGTTTATAGCAATTCTATTCAATATTTAATAGCTTATTGGTTCACCTTAGTTGATAAATCAGTATGCTATTTACAATCAATTTTAGTTAGATAGATAAAATCCAATCCAGTAACTGCATATTATAAAATACCAAATTTGTGATTACTTACAAAAAAAGGTTGTTGGTTGTTTTATCTGCTTGGTTTCCCAATAGATGAAAGATTACAGATTTCAAATTGTATTCTACATTAGCTGAAAGCATTAGTTGGAAGCCGTCAAGTTCAAAAAACGCGAGGACAGCCTTGATTTTGAAGGAATTACTATATCAACTGTCTTTGAAAATAGATACGTTGGTCTAAGAATATTAACACTATAAATTATTGTAATATATCCCTAGAAATTTGAGCAGGTATCTTTGATTTTTTATAGCGAATATAAATAAAATGTGGACATCGCCTTAAAAAAGTGTAATGCAATTTAAGCTCAGCACCTAAATTGCATTGACACAGATGAAGGCGTGACTTTGGACTTATTCGGCAGGCACCCGGCCAACGGTAGACTTGTTACTTCAAAATTCTTTGTTGGTTGACACTACTGATCTCCAAACGAATCATCGAAGTAATATTTATTACATGTTTTTGTTATTAATAAGCATTTTTCGTATAAAACTCAACTTTTAATACAATACGTCACACTTATGAAACTCACACAACATAAACAAAATGTCATTAGTAAACTAAACAATTAATAAATCCAGTTGTATCTTTCTTTACATTAATTCAATAACAACATTCCCCCTAGAATTAATCATACCAAAGATTACACATATGTAATCTTTGATCATACTAATAAATATTATAAATGTGAAAGTTAGTGTGTTCGTTTGTTTGAAGTTCAATCACGCATTAACTACTGGTCGGATTGGGTTGAAATTTGGTATGATGATAGCTCACTCCCGATTAACATATAGACACATTCTTATCCCAAAAATCCTTTCGGGCTCCACCCCAGTGGCTCTAGAGTTTCTCATGATAACCTTGTGAGTATCTATCTATCTATCTATATCTATAATATAAATACCCCCGCCGTAGCAAACCTGCAGACTAAGCGAATTTCCATTTGACTGATTGGATTTACACTGAAATGTCTACTTAAAAATATAACATTTATTCTTGATTTAAATAGAATAAGTTTAACAAGTACTTAGGTTTGCTGCATCAGGGAGGGTAAAACAGATTTTTTTTGTAAAATGTGAATAGTTAGTAAGAAATAAAAACATTTTCCAAATTTGATCAAAATATGTTCACAAACAAGCAAACTACAACAGTTTACTTATTCTCCATAAGAATAACATGGGAATTTTAAATTTAAAATTTTTTGGAATTTTCTCCGTAACCATTAGGCGCATAATAACGCTTCAATATACTAAATTATTTGTTTTTTTAAGCTCTACAAAATGGTTTGGAAAGAAATTGCTAAATTTTATGTTTTTTGGGTCAAAAATTAGAAAAACCTATTTTTACCCCATAAAACCCCCCGTAAACCCCCGTTCCCATGGTCCGATCATGCTGGATTGCGAACTCGTTCGAATAAACGTACTTTTACACGTTTGTACCAATTTTCATCAAAATCGGATCATTTTTGCTCGAGTTATCGTGCTGACGGACACATATATATATATATATATATATATAAATATATATATATATAAATATATATACATATATATGAATATATGTATATATATATGAATTTGAACGGATGGTGTTTTTCGCCTCTAGGGACCTCAAAACGAAAAAAAAAATCGGTCCCGCGTCCAGGTCTTACCATGAGTACTACGGTAATAGCTTATTCCCTATATGGGAAATTCGCTAAAACGAAACAGTGTTTTTTTTATTTCACGATTCTGAATCAACCACTCGACGGATTTTCATGATTTTTGTGTTGAAAGAAAGATAATTTTGAGAACTAGGGAATATCGAAGCCATAAATTTAGTTTAGGGTCCCAGTTTTTTTAGAAATTAAGTTTTAATTTTTTAAAAGTCTAGCAGCCGACGCTAAGATTCTAAACTAGCTTTTGGCATAAAATAATTTGCTTAACATAACAGCTGTAAACATTCAGCTTTTGTGTCACAAATTCAGCATTTGGATAAAAATGTAAAGACATACTTAGGGTTGACTTATTTATACTATGTGTAATGCAAATCATTGATAAGTTCAATTCTTCTGTAAGAGGATGACAGATTAATTAAATTATACATAGTAAAATACTAGGATGTTCAAAATATTTTTTTAAAGCAATCTTTGTAATCTTCTATTTGTTGTAGAGCAATATAATTTGTTTTAACTAACAGCTGGTTAAATATAAACTATGGAACTATGAGGTTATTTTATTTACTCTTATTTTTTCATTGATTATAGGAAATAAGTAAGATTAGTAGAGATAATTAGACCACAGTTTAAAATAGTTTAGACCAAAATTAATTAAACCACAGTACAAATCGAGGCTCTGTACACGAGTCTTAATAAATAAGGATAAATGAAAATTATTTTACTATTCCACTTTTCGAGGAAAGAATAGAAAAATAACAATCTTTACATGTTTTAATACTTCATGGTAGCATTTTGTAATTAGACAAACCATCCTTTTCTGAAATCGTGTTCAGCGTGGTTACGTTTGGGGGTGCCTGTCAGCGCCCCCAAAAGTGAAAATATCACTTTTATTTCAACTATGAATATATTGTAGTTTAAATTAACTAATATGGGAAATTACGATGTACACTTATTCAATGAGGGTGGGTAATTAAGGATAGAACTGATAACGGTATGGATAATAAACATTGACAATTACGTCATTAGCTTTACTAGCGTGTTTACTTTTTATATTTCTGCTACATGTGACCAGTTCTTTTAGTAATCGTGAGTTCTTTTTTTTCAAATGAATGTTATTTGAACCAAACAGCTGTTTCAAAACAAACTGTTATTGTTTTTACTTTTCTTTGTTTACACTTATTTATTTAGCAATTAATGCATTGAAATTAATATAAAGGATAGGTGTGACGATTTATGTGTACTGTGAACTTTATTGGATATTATCGTTTTATTTTAGGTCGTTTCTATTCAGACCTACTGGAAATTGTGTATAGTAGTTGTATTGTGGTGATAATTATGGAAGAGGCAGGTATGCTATGGAAGGTGGTATCGTTGACTAAGTCTATACACTTCTCAATTGACTATTACTCTCTATACTGTAGGCTACTTATAACCAGTGTGCGTCTGTGCGAATCGGCTGCAAATCTCACTTCAACGCTTTTCACATCGTAAAAATTGCAGAATTGCTGTTTTATTGTAAAATTATCGGATTTAAAATGCATATCGTATAGGCCTATCATGGAATAAAAACATATTTGGTCACACAACATTTGTTTACAAGATGATTTTTCACATTAAAACTGCAAGAAACTTTGTCTTTATGTGTAAACTAGCTGATCTGAATTGTATACGGTTTTAACTGACTACTGAATTCCCGTACGTAGGACGGGCCAACACCTCGACTAGCGTCTAGACTGCCAGTGCAAGTCCGAGGATCGGACTCAGATCAGGATCGTGGATCAGATCAGTGGATCACCCCCCCACAACCGCACCATGTCGTACGCTTCCGAATCATACCGGCGCATCAGCATAGCTTATCCAACTGTTCGCGGAAAATTGTTATCTGTATCACTGTCACTGTCAAAACGTATAATTTTTAGATTAAATTTGAATTAAATATAATTAAACTATCATAACCTAACCAAACTTGCTGATAATGATAAACTCGAATGAAGGTTTACTAATCGAAAAATAGCTCTGTTCTAAAAATAAAATTATAAATGTCTCAAATTCAATATTACAATCTTTTAATTATAAAATTAAACTGTCATAACCTAACCAAACCAACCAAACTTGCTGATATGAAAAAAATTGTTGACAAAAAGTTAGTGCTCCCAATAGGACTCGAACCCGGCACCTTCAGATTATCAGCCCGACACGCTATCCACTTCACCACAAAGGCTCATGACTCAGTTCCGTATCGTTGCAGAAATGGTTGACGTCACGCCATCGGCACTGAGCGGTGGTGGGGGGTTTTTCGATCTGATCCACGATCCTACCGATCCTAGGAGTTGCACTGGCAGTCTAGATGCTTATCAACAAACTAAGTTCATATTTAAAAGTAATTAAAGAATTTTTCCAGCTGTTTCAACTACACAAGCTGGTTCTATGATATTCAATAGCATTAAAAGGCTAAAAGGTTTACCAACAGGGTGCAGCATTATTAATTCTTTATGACAAGAGGCGATATCCTTTAGAATGTTCACAATATCCCACCACTATGCATTCTTCAGACTTAACGTCAAATTTCTCCCTTTTCTGCTTTGGCACATGCACTATGCTTGACATCCAAATATTCTAAAAAATTTTAAATTAGGTAACAATACTAACTTGAAGCTAAACAATGTCACTAGGTCGGAAGTTTTAGCTACAAGC